GTAATGATACAGACTCTATCAACTACAGTAATGATACAGACTCTATCAACTACAGTAATGATACAGACTCTATCAACTACAGTAATGATACAGACTCTATCAATTACAGTAAGGATACAGACTCCATCAACTACAGTAATGATACAGACTCTATTAACTACAACAATGATACAGACACTATAAACTACAGTAGTGATACAGACTCTTTCCACTACAGTAATGATACATATTCTATAAAATACAGTAATGATAAAGACTCTATAAACTACAGTAATGATTCAGACTCTATCAACTAGAGCAATGATACAGACTCTACCAACTACAGTAATGATACAGACTTTATGTGATGACATGACTGACCGTGGTCACAGTTTCCACATGCTGTGTCACAGTTAACACCGAAATACCCTTCGTCACAAACTGTATCAAAAGGAAATTTCACCAGTCATGGTAGTCTCGTAGAGTAACACAGATTAGGCTGTCTTATATACATGTACGTACCGATCAATTCAAACCTGTCGTTTGATGAAAGATGAACTACGACTGTGATTACCACAAATTATAAAGACAAACTCTGCAGAGTACATTATAATTGTAGAAAACTGCATCCCAGTAACATGTCTTTTGTACAATTACGAATCGGACATCATAATATGTAGTAAAAGGGAATAAAATCGTGTTTTCTTTCCAAAGTGTTTGAGTAGGGTTGTGTGATAATTAAAAAGTCTACAATAGGATTTTAAAGATCAACCAGAAGCTAAGAAAGTCCAAAATGATAATCTATGAAAAGTACACACTATTACCTAATTTGGAGTGTGTATTAATTTAGTCTATAATCTGTTTACAATGTTGTCCCACTATTTTCGACCTTAGTGGACATGGGATTATATATTGCAGCCGATAAAAGTTGGTCGATTCCGTACCATCTCATACACTACGTACGTTAGTCATTTGTCTGATCAAGGTGACCGTGTCGTCACTATTTATCTACGGTCACAACAGGAATACTTCCTAGTTGAAGATGCTGTACATCTTTTCCGTTCTTAGCATATGAAATAATTTTTAACTTTCTGGATTGTCAAATCAGGGAACCCACATGGTATATTAAATACATATATGTATTGTTGTTTTGTACTATATATAATTGTTATATTATATATTTATATATATATATATATATATAGGTGTGTGTGTGTGTGTGTGTGTGTGTGTGTGTGTGTGTGTGTGTTGTTGTTTGGTACTATATATATATAATTGGTATATTAAATACACACATATATATATGTATTGTTGTTTGGTACTATATATATATATATAATTGTTATATTATATATATATATGTATGCATTGTTGTTTGGTACTATATATATACTATTGTTTAGTACTTAATATAACTTAAACAGTCTGTACATACGTTTCTATTGATCTTTAATTTTTGTGCAAACTATGAAATGAAAATTCGTGGCGTGTTACATGAATCTTACATTAATTCATTTCCAGCACGTAACTTCGACTGAATTTTGTAAATTATTAGCGAAAGCAGCGTGTTATTAGGTTAATACAAAATCTCAAATGGCAATATTCTTATTCTTGAGCTCTTTCTTTGGAGAATGTAACAATGTATATGACCTTGTAAGGTTATGACGTTAAATGGAAACAATGAGAAAATCAAGCCATTCACAAATGAACATTTTCTGGGTGTTACAACCCTAACAACAGTAACGTATGTTGTTTCGTAAGCACTTATTAAGTTATATTGATGATCGGCCCTACCTTGTCCGTGAACAAGTCCGTTGTTCAGTATCAATAATACTAATCCTGGTATCACCTGCCAGCACATTGTAGAAGTGAACAATCGAACAGCGGGACAATGAAGATGTTCCATCTAAGTGGTACAGAGGAGTGGTTCGCCGGAAATCATCTCTTCAGATCATCCACTCTTGGTGTATGTGCGTGCATTGTATACAACAGTTCAAAAGTCATAATTTTGTACATATACAGCTATATAGGGTAGTGGGTCAAATCAAACAGTCATGGCTGGTAGTTCATTCATCAAAGACAGATGATAAATGAATCATGTAATCATATATTACACAATAAGCTACAAAACATTAGTAAGCATTAACACAACACATAAATCAACAGAAAGTGACTTCTCGGAGAGATATTGCAAACATCAGTGACTCCTCGAAATGATATCACGAATACTAATTGCTCCTCGTACAGATAAAACAAACAACAGGGACTCATCAGAAAACTATCAGAAACAACAGTGACTCCACGGACAGATACTACAAACACCATTCACTCCTTAGAAAGATATCACAAACACCCGTAATTCCCCGAAAAGATATCACAAACACCCGTGATTCCCCGAAAAGATATCACAAACACCCGAGATTCCCCGTAAAGATATCACAAACACCCGTGATTCCCCGAAAAGATATCACAAACACCCGTGATTCCCCGAAAAGATATCACAAACACCCGAGATTCCCCGTAAAGATATCACAAACACCCGTGATTCCCCGAAAAGATATCACAAACACCCATGATTCCCCGAAAAGATATCACAAACACCCGTGATTCCCCGAAAAGATATCACAAACACCCGTGATTCCCCGAAAAGATATCACAAACACCCGTGATTCCCCGAAAAGATATAAAAAAACACCCGTGATTCCCCGAAAAGATATCATAAACACCCGTGATTCCCCGAAAATATATCAAAAACACCCGTGATTCCCCGAAAAGATATCACAAACACCCGTGATTCCCCGAAAAGATATCACAAACACCCGTGATTCCCCGTAAAGATATCACAAACACCTGAGATTCCCCGTAAAGAGATCACAAACACCTGAGATTCCCCGAAAATATATCAAAAACACCCGTGATTCCCCTAAAAGATATCACAAACACCCGTGATTCCCCGAAAATATATCAAAACATCAGTGACTCATCGGAAAGATATAACTTACATCAGCAATAAATCGAAAATATATTACAACATCGGTGACTCCTCGGAAAGATACCATAATCACCAGTGACTCCTTAGACAGATATCACAAACCAAAGTGACTCATTTTAAAGATATCACAAACATCAGTGATTCTTCGGAAAGATATCACAAACACGAGTCACCTTAGAGAGATTTCACAAAAAACAGTGACTTCTTGAAAAGATATCACAAACGTAAGTGACTCCTTTGGAAGATACCACAACCACCAGTGATTCACATGAAAGATATCGAAAACACCAGTGACTTCGCAGAAAGATACCACAAACATCATTCCCCCGACGGATCTCACTATTACCAGAGACTCGCGAAAAAATATCACAAGCACCAATAATTACTCGAGAAGATATTACAAGCAACAGTGATTCATTGGAAAGATAATACAAATATTAGTGACTCTTCGGGGAAATTTCACAAACACCAGTGACTTCTACGACAGATACAATTGTAGTAACGAACAAGGCAGCAAAAACTCGTGCGCAAATCTTGCATACATCATGCGCACACACGCATGATACAGTATCGCACATTTTGTGCGGTTTTGTATAAATGCTTAGCTAATATTATGGACTGAAAATTAAACGGAAAATTCTTTTTATTACTAAATAGTGAACAAGTGAACATTAAAATTGATATGTGCTTATAAAAGTCGTTTTTAATTCGACAGTTTTCGAGATAACACAGGACTGCATTAATTAATCTTATCCTATATAAAGTTTCACACCTCAGCAAGTGGCGAATAGTGGTGCCTCAGGTAACAAAAGTTTGCCTGTATACGGGTATATACGTGACAAGTCCGGATCCCTACAGGTTTGGTCGCCCGTGTAACATATACAACACTTTTTTTCCTGAGCATCTATCTTTTGTTTAAAAAAATAACTAAAAATGAGAGTAATACCGACGTAATGAAAATTAAATATCTTTTCTGATGGTATGAGATTTTAAAATGATTCGTTGGTGTGACACAAACAGACTTCAATTTAACGATTACATACATATAATATATATATAGTGCGTGTCCGTAAACTAAGGCTGGTCACTTGTGGCTCATTGCAAACAAAACACTTAAAATCTCGAGTGTGTTTAACTATTTAGTGTGTATCTGATATATCTACAAGTTTCCAACCGATATATCAATGGCTTAATTTGGAATTGCATATTGTGTAACGTTAAACGATCCCACAAGTGCATCACAAACACCAGTGAGTCCTCGGGAAGATATCTCAAACATTAATTTCTGCCCGTTGTATATTTAGAAATCTAGCGACTGCAGGTTATATGAGGATTTATGTTGTACACTATGTTATGTATAATATTGCTGTGAAACACACTGGCTACAGATACATGTGGGTATATTCTGTTGTATGTCCTTACATAATTACCTATAAGTGAGGCATGATGTTCTTATGAGAACACACACTGTATAGAAAATATTAGATACCGATTTATTCTTGAATAAGTTTGACACATTTTTGCCGTATCTTATCAACTGCATTTTGGATCAACATATAGGTCGAATATAGATATAGGTTTCTGTAATATTGGTTATGTATCTTACATGTTTCCGAATTTGGATTTTTATTGCTTTGTCGCATCAGCAAAATGCATTTCTTTATTTTCTTTGTTTATGCCTATCACTTGAACATTTTCGACCATGCCAAATAGGATTTTTTCCCCCAAAAACAACACTGTATTTGAGAAAACTGAATTTATAAAACATGTCCAGAGTGATTTTGTAACGTGTCTGGGACTAGCTCAACTATGGTAGCGATTGACCGGTCGGTATCCCAGCACGCCACAGCGTTTACCACCCAGTAAAAGTGGTTAGTAGGTTCGAATGGCAGGCCAGCCAAAGGAAAACCAGGAGTCGTTGGTTACAGTTGATGTTTTATTTAGTAAAAACGGAATCCCCAGTACAGTATCTCCAGCCGGCGGTAACGGGTCAGGCTATGGAAGGGTTTGGGAGGCTATGTGTAAAGACCTAATGGTTCTACTGGTATTGGATTCTCCCTGTCCCTGACAGGCTGGCCCAGATGTATCGTTGGTAGGAATATGCTGGTACATTGTAACAGTAGGGCTGGTCTCCTAATTCGCTACTAAAGTTGGCCGGGAAGAGGGAGCTGATGTCATCTGTCCACCTAGATCCTCAGGACTCTCCTCGCTAACTTCTGATACATCCAGCAATCGAATGACCGGACTGTCGCTTGAGGTAAAATCCCTATCTGGAATAGAGGGCCTTGACCCGGTTGACTGATCTAGAGACTGGATCTGCTGGTGATCTGGAATGTGGCTGCCTGCTGGGTGTTCCTCTCGGATATGCTTCCCTAGTCCCTCAGCGTATTTGTATCGTTTACCACAAAAACAGCATGGGTACTTCAACACCAGGTCCTTCCCATCGCACAAGCTTGACATGTCAGGGTGACTTCTCGCCATCGTGTGTTGCCGCTTGGACTGCCAACGTTGGAATGGTCTCGAAGCATCCAGGCAGAGGTATGACAGCACAATGCACGAAGTTTTCACAGCAACATCAAAGATTAACAACATCAAAGGGTTACTGGATTAGTGACGCTTGGATGATTGCCAAGGTAAACTTGGTAACTACATGTCGACTCGGTACAGGACAAATTCATTTAGACGAGCTGGCCGCTTTGGCTCTCTGCCAACTCTGGTCTTTGTATCAGCAGGGGAACTTTCGGCACTAGGGTCCGTCCCAGTATCATCACAGACACTGCTGGTATCAGAACCAACGTCCCGATCGGCTACACTCCCACTCTCCATCGGGTCTATAGACAAATCTCCGCTCCGTTCAGTTAGAGGGCGGAGTCGGTCATGCTGGACAATGTCAGGACGCAGGTTTCCTTTCTGCACGCGATATGTAACATCATCAATAGCCTCTAGGATCCGGTAGCCTTCTTCTCAGTGTGGTTGAAGCTTGGGTGAACGCCCAACCCTCCTGCGGCCGCTATACAGAAGTACCCTATCACCAGCTTTGTACTTCCGGGAATGGGTTCTGACATCATACAGTTTCTTCTGGCGCCTGAGGTTGTGTCCTATGTGTTCCCTGGCTATCTCATGGACGGCAACCATCCGGTCATGGAATCTGCTGACCCATTCCTGGTGACCAACATAAGATTCTCTCGGGGCCCTTCCCAATACAATCTCCAGCGGCAACGTTACCTCACGTCCTAACATCAGTTGGTTTGGGGAAAAGCCGGTCGACTCTTGTTCTGCAGCACGGTACGCCGTGAGATTGGGCATGGTATGATGTTGTCCGAGTTTTGTGTATACCGAGTGGCTCGCATATTTCCCTAAATACGGCACTCTCAAACTGCCTGCCCCGGTCAGAATGAAGGACTTGATGAACGCCGAAACGGGAAATAAAGGTTTCAATCAGAGCTTTGGCACAGGTGGTAGCTTCCATGTTTGGAAGTGGTACTGCCTCCAATCACTTGGTGAAGTGGTCACCTATAAGTAAAATATAGGCATTTCCATGGCCGGTCTTGGGTAATAGCCCTATGTGGTCTAAGGCAATGCGCTCCCCTGGCTCACCATCTGCCATGTTCTTGAGTGGGACCCTTGGTTTAGGCCCATACCTCTTCCTGGACATACAAGTTGAGCAACTACTGCACCAGCGACGGACATTTTGCTGGAGTCCTGGCCATGTGTATATCTGCCTAACCTTGGAAATAGTCTTGTAAACACCAACGTGACCACCAACGCTCTTTTCGTGGCATTCGTGTAAAACCCGTGACTTCAGTGCGGTGGGTATTATTACCAATAAGCGTTCCAACTTCCCTGTGACAGCGTACCACCGCCTACAAAGCAGGCCATCAGGTACTTCCAGGCGGGAGAACTGTCCGCATAACGCCTTCACGGTCTTATTATGTAGGGAAACCTGGTCCCAGGCTGGGCGTTTGTTATTCTCCAACAAGCTTCGTACTAGAACAAGGTCTTCGTCTTTGTCCTGGGCCTCACGGAGGTCTTTCATGTCCTTGTCAAACCTCACACTTTGACTGATGGTTCTGTTGAAGCACGGCTACATTACCTGCACGGGACGCGAGACATGGCATCAGCGTTCTGGTGGCTACGGCCAGGGCGGTGCTTAATTTCAAAGCTGTAGCCGGAGAGAACTGCCAACCACCTGGCAAGTTGGCCCTCAGGTTCTTTGAAGCGCATTAGCCACGTCAATGAGCCATGGTCAGTTTGCAGGAATTTTCTGCCAAGCAGATTTGAAATTAAGTGCTTGACAAAATGGACAACGGCCAAAAGCTCTCGCCTGTTGACGCAGTAGTTCCTTTCAGCCTTAGACAAGGTCCTGCTGGCATAAGCGATGACATGTTCACGGTCTCCCTACTTCTGGGACAGTACTGCTCCGATACCGGTGGCACTGGCGTCGGTGTCTAGGATAAACGGGAAGTCTGGTCTCGGCAGTGCTAGAACAGGTGCTGAAGACAGTCGTTGTTTTAGTGCAAGAAAGGTGTCTTCACATTCCTTGGTCCATTTGAAATCACCCACTTTCTCCGTCAGTCGGTGTAGGGGTGGGGGTAAGCAATGGAAGCAAAGTTTGTTACGACTTCCGGTAGTACCCGCATACCATAGGAAAATTCATAATTCGATTTGATTACAGGGAACAGGCCAATCCTTTAAAGCCTTGATCTTGTCGGGACTGGTCGCGACTCTTTTATCAAACACAGTGTGACCAAGAAAGTTTACTTCTCTGGCAAACAGGTTACACCTTTTGGGATTCAGTTTGAACCCCGTCACCATGAGGCGGTCGAAAATTTCTCCCATCCGGTCAATCAGTTGATCAAATGTTATGCCAAAGATTTTGATGTCATCTAAGTACACCAGGCACGTCTCATACTGAAGTCAAGCTAAAGCAGACTCCCTCATCCGCTCAAAGGTGACAGGGGCGTTGCACAGCCCAAATGGAAGGACATTGAATTGAAACAGTCCTCTCTTAGTGACGAAAGCTGTCTCGTGCCTGTCATCTGGGTGTACCTCCACCTGCCAATACCCAGACATCAGATCCACTGTTGAAACCAGGTGGCGCCGCTGAGTGCGTCAAGGGAGTCGTCAACTGTTGGCAAGGGGTAGGCGTTCTGGAGAGTAACTGCATTCAAACCCCGGTAGTCAACACAAAACCTCAGCTTGCCGTCCCACTTTCTCACAAGGACAACTCCGGCACCCCATGGGCTAGTGAGGGTTCTATCACCTTGCGCTCCAACATCGGATTGAGTTCTTTGTCGAATTCATCCCATGAATGTAGAGGGACACGTCTGGGCGCGTGTTTGATGGGCCTGGCACTGTCTGTATCAATAGTGTGTTGGATGTGATTCGTGCGCCCTAGGTCACCGTCATCCCTAGCAAAGAGACCTGCATAACTTCGGAGAAACGATTTAGCCCTGTCATTCTGGTCAGCTGTCAAGTTCTGGCTGCAATCCTGCAACAGAGAGCTGAGATGCGTCGGCAACTGGTTTAACCGGCTCTGGTTCCTGAGCCTGCTCTATCCACCCACGTGGGTACCATTCCCTATAGTCTTCGGCTCTGAGTCTGGATTCAGTAATCTCACCGGAACACAGGAAGGCTCATCAAGCCTTACAAAGATACGGCCGACTAATAAGGAATGTTTCTCTTTGAATGTGGCCGTTGGTTCAACAAGATAGCTGGCGTCCTCGCTGCATCCTATGACAGGTACAGATGCAACCATTTCACTGGGGATCGTATTGGTACGGTCAAGGGAGACACGGCAAACTCCTAAGCTACCAACGGTGTGGCATTTTATTGTCATTTCCCCTATCTTCAGGTTTTTCTGGGATAAATCGATGGCACATCTGTGTCTTCCCAGAAAATCAAGTCCCAGAATAGCGTCTGGGCGTATATGCGTGACGACGAGATTGTGACTGCGGCTGGTACATCCTAGCGAAATGCCAAACGTTCCTGTCCCTGCTGGTGTCATCTTCGATCCACTAACGGTGGTAATAGGAAGGCCATCCTTAGCTAACTTCGGCGGCCGATTCAAAGAGCAGTATAGACTTGAATTCTACAGGGAAATGGTGACTCCAGTATCAATCAAAATGTTGGCGGGTTCTCCCTCAATAAAAACCTTCCACATACATGCCTGCCTTCTGCACTGTTATGTTGACTGTTGGGTCTGGGTCGACAGGTTCTCCCTCGGGGTCCTTCTCAGACGAGCTTGACTCTGACTTCCAGTGACCTCGTGCTCCACACAGATGGCACATTTCTGGCCGTCTCCTGGGGCGCCGTCGGAAGTGACGCCTATTCGGTACAGCTCCCTTGGATAAATCATTTACGACTTCCTTGAGTTTGTTACAGATGACATCTATCGGAGCAGAATCAGTTTCTACCTCTGATTCAGGCTCAGCTGTCGCCTTGACAGCTTGGGCTGATACCCTCTCAGCACTCTGGAATGCCTCAATCTCAACTGCAGCCTGAATGGCTTCGTCTAGCGTGCTAGGTTTCCTCTGCCACACCAGAAATTTCAGGTCAGAGCCAAAAAGTACCTCTAAGAACTGTTCTTTGGCTAACGTTCCATGCATAGGGTCTCCTGCTTTGGGGTTAGCAGGCTGAACTAATCGGCGAATGGCCTGCCCAAGCTCCAGTAGGGATTCATTCTCTTGGCGTAATCTGGCCTTCAGCTGGACTCGGTACAGATCCAGCTGGTTTGGTGGTGCGAATCGCTCCTCAAGTGCTAATTTCAGTGTTGTATGAGGTGCAGGGTGACCACCAGTGCTTAAATTTCCCAGTATTTACTGGGCTGATCCCCTTAGACTGACAGCCAAGAACAAACTTTTTTGGTTATCATTCTACCCATTGAGGAGATCGCATGACTCAAAATGTACAAGGTGCATTGATCCATCATAGGCGTGAGGCTTATATAACGTAGTCTTCCTATGGGTGACAGCAGGTGAACTCAGGGCGCCATCCACACCCACGACTTGGCCCTGGGTGCTGGACAGCGCTGCTTGAATGTAGGTGTTACATGTTGCGGCAGTCTCTATTAGCTGGCTACCCGTGGGAAAACTCGGCGTTTGTGTATGCAA